CTGCTGAGCTGGGCTTCTCTGTGATGGCATTTTCTCATGTCTGAGTTCCCTGACTGCTAGTGCAGGAGCTGGGATGATCTGATCTCCTGTAATCCTCCCACTGCCACAGTTGGCCTCAGAGGCTGTTTGAGCAGATGCAATTTAAGCTTTAAAAAAGCCAGCTCAGATATGCATGACAAAGACTAACCTGATACAGACCTGGAAGTAACAAAGTGCCTTAAAATTGCACTTATGTGAAGAGTTTCTGGGCTGCAATTTTCCCTTTTTCCTTAAGCATCAACATGAAAGAGATCTGAAGGAAGGATGAACTTCAAGCTATTTTTTTTTCCCTGTTAACTTCTGATGTGCTCCTCCTCTTCTTCTAATAAAATGTGTCTGGGAATGCTTTGGAGACTACTTCTGCATAGCTGTTGCCACACCTGTTGGGAAGGGGAAATTCCTCTTGGTCTGCCTGTTGGAGCAGCCTGGGGGAGCACTACTGCTGGAATGTTTTATTTACAAAGCTGGCAAAACCCCTTCCTTTCCATGAAAATTGAATTATTTGTTTGTTCACTTTCAAATTTAGTCTCTATGGGCCAGACCTGCAGCTGTGGTAAATTAGCTCAGCTCCAGATGTGCCCTAATATATTTTGAGATGTCATTTCCCTGTATCTGTATGCAATTCTGTAGATCTTTCTGCTCCCCTGGTTTTGACATTACTTCAGCTTTGGGTCTGTTTTGTCTCTTCATTCAGCCAAGAGATTCTGGGGACAAAGGATGTGTTGGGTTCTCGGTGGCAGGAGATATGCATCATGTCTACTACCTTCACTTGCAGAAGGATGATGAGAAAAATCTGTGTTTGTGGGCTGGTTCATGGGCTCAGTTTTGTGCTTTACACACAGTTTGCAGAAGGTCTAAGGACTGGCTTTGACAACTCAAGTTGTCAGTGCATCTCTTGCTCTTCCAGTATTACTGCTGGTCCCAGTGTAGAACCAACACCAGGCTTTCTGCTAGTAAGTAAGAAACTAACTTTGAAAGCTTGCACTTCAGCTTGCAAGCAGGAAAAAGAGGATCCTTGTGTAATTTTGATGCTTTGGCACCTCTGGAGTCACTGAGTGCATATTCCTGTCAGGACAGGAATGGTTTTGGAGTAGATGCTTTGGCACCTCTGGAGTCACTGAATGCATATTCCTGTCAGGACAGGAACGGTTTTGGAGTGGGGTCAAGGCACAGGAGATTTCCAGCATGTGGATACATGCATTTCTTTTTCTGAATATTGCTCTACTCCAACTCCAGTGGACTTGGAAGAACTGAAGGTTGTAGGATCCAGACTGAGTGGAGCAAAGGATGCTCAGTTTTGCTATCCTAGTGATTAATTAGTATCACTTGTTTAGAATCAGGGGACTGTGCACCACCATCACAACAAAGAATGAATTGTCCTAAAACTATAGGCAAGAAAGGGATGCAGTTTCTTGTTTTTTTTCTTAGCTGGTACATGGCTATCATACTGGATAGCTGTGCTACACCCAATCCCAGCTACCTATGCTTTGAAGAGCATTGAGCTGGGAAACACTTTTTCCAGATCAAGTTGGGAGTTTAGATCTTGCCAAATACCAACAAGCTCATGTGTGCCCATGCCCCATCCCTGCAAGTGCTCAAGGCCAGGTTGGATGGTGCTTGAGTGGAAGGTGTCCCTGCCCATGGCTGGAGGGTTGAAACTAGACGATCTTTAATGTCCCTTTCAACCAAAACCCTGGGAGCTTTGCCCCGGGGAGGGGATGTGCTCCGAATCGTTAAAATACCTTGGTTGCTGCTTGGCGCATGGGGTGTGAGTGTGCAGGACCGGGTCGCTGCCGAGCTCAGCAGCAGTAACACGGAGCAGCGTTCAGTAAAACGCTACAAAAGTAAGATTTGGGAAGAAAAGCCGCGGAGGGCAGAGCTCGGGGGTGGGTAGGGAAGGGACGGGCTGTGCCGGAGCTCTGGCACCGAGTGCCGGCACCGCCTCCCTGTAGGATGCCCCTTCCCTCCCCCTGCATCCCCCTGCACCTCCCCTCCCTGCATCCCTCCTCCCTGCATCCCTCCCCCTGCATCCCTCCCCCTGCTTCCCTCCCGGCTCACTATCCGCTTTCTCCCGGCACAGGGGCAGATCGAAGTGGACAGCGAGACAGTCTTCAAGTTAGCCGCCCTGGTGCTGCAGGTAAGAGTCTCTGCCCGCTCGGATCGCTCCCTCAAGCTGTGGATTGCTCAGCTCAATCTGCATTGCTAGGTCCCTGCATCCCTCCCCCTGCATCCCTCCCCCTGCTTCCCTCCCGGCTCACTATCCGCTTTCTCCCGGCACAGGGGCAGATCGAAGTGGACAGCGAGACAGTCTTCAAGTTAGCCGCCCTGGTGCTGCAGGTAAGAGTCTCTGCCCGCTCGGATCGCTCCCTCAAGCTGTGGATTGCTCAGCTCAATCTGCATTGCTAGGTTTTTTTTTCCCCCCTTCTCTCTACAGAGAAGACCCCACAGTGTTGTTTATAATCTCTGCGGTTGGAGGGGGAAAGCTGAAATCTATGGGAGTTGTTTTTCTCATAGGCGAGAGAGGTAAATATTTAGTTGAGGAGTTTGAAATTGAAAGAGGAAAAGCTCATCAAAGGGAAGTCATTTATTTGGGCAGGTTTCAATGTATCACTTAGGTTAATTTAAATACATTCCAGAGATCTGGGAAGAAAAGAGTAAACATTGTAGCTAAATCTGCTGCATTATGCCTGTGAATCTTCCTGTCAGAGCATATGGTTTTGATACCTCTGTTATGTTGAAATATAGTGTGTCAGTTTTCCCTCTCATTCATCAAATTTCGTTGTGTTTAAACTCTGGTTCTTCGCAGCTTTCTATGAAATCAAGTTCTGCCTTTCAAATATTGGGGGGGTTTCCTCCGTTGCATTCTCATTGACAAAGTGCCCCAGCAAAGCAGCAGCAGCTCGATCTGCCTGAAAGGTTGTTTTCATCTCGAGTGAGCACAATTCCTCCCAACTGGTGACCTGCCTGCACAACCGACCTTTGGCTGGATGTGGTCGGCCAGGGAGAGAATTGTATTTCACTTCTTGTGCAGTAAAAGCGACATTTGCTTTGCAATGTGAAATTCATCCCCGTTTTGGAAGCAGTTTTATTTATGCTGTAGGTGGATTATCTACAGCTGGAAGCATAAAGGGCCAAGTTCAGCTGTTGAACACATGCAAGCAGGCTCTGTGTTTTGCTGGGAGTGTGCTGGGGGTCAGGATCTGGCCACAGAGCTGTGGGAGTGGGGAAGTGAACAATGCTGGGAAAATCGAGGGCTTTTGTGAAGAGATCGTGTTTTAATTCTGTCACTGTTTTTCAATTGTAGGAAGCTAAAGGGGACTATTCCAGGTAATAACATTTTCCTTTCTAATACTGTTGTGCTTGATGGATGTGTTTTTCTGTGTTGGCATTGTATTGCAAACAATCACAAATGGGGGTAAAGTCTAGCTGAGAGCCTGAAGAAAGTGAAATGTGCTGCTGGGCTGGATAAAATCTGAGCCTGCAGGGTGAGTAATGCCTTTTGTGAGCAAGCTCTGAGTCAAAACAGTGTTCCAGACCATCCCACTTTGCTCCCCTCCCTAAACGTGGGTGCTGAAGTGGGGCAGGGGGAAAACTCCTACTCTTCCCTACTGGAAAGCTTGTGCTTTGTATAACTTCTGCAAGGTGAACTTTTGCCTGTGCTTTTGCAAAACTGCACTTTGGGTCTGTCTGGGTGACCTTGCCCACAGCCCTGCCCATGCTGTGGCAGCACGTGCAGAGACGTGGGGCCTGGCAGCTGCCAGCACCGGGATCAATGAGCTGTGTTCTCCTGCAGCTGCCCCGGGGCCTCTCCCTCACCACACTTGACCCAACAGTTGTGTTGTGGCTGATGTGTGACCCTGTTCCTGACTTTGAGCTTTCTAAAGCTGCATCATCAGATTGGGCTTCTCCTTGGAGGTGCTTCTTACCCTGCACTGATTGTGGTAATGGGCTGTGGGGAGGAGGTGAAGGTCACACTTGGACCTGTTGGAGACAGGGGAAAAGACCTTCCATTAGAAACAGCTCAATAAGCAAATAGAGGTTCAGAAGGTTGGCTTTGGTCGTGTTAATATTTTACTAATTGCTGAGTTTCCATATGGGGAGAGAGGTGTGTTTTACACTTTAACTACAACAGCTTTGGAGAGCCATGGGTTGAAAGCATGTGGTAAAGAGCTGAGCTGTCTGCTCAAATGCAGGGAGCAAGTCACAGCTGACTGCCAAAGTGACATACTCTGCTTTCCCCTCAGTGCACAGTTGTCACCTAAGTGCCAGTGCTGCTGGCCTTAGGAGGCTCCTTCTCTCCAAAGACCAGTCCCTTCTCTGCTGAAGGACACGCTCTGCAAAGTCCATCAAACCTCCTCCTCCTTCTGGCTGGAGTGCTGTCACACCTTCAGGCAGGAAAAGGTGTCCCTGTGACTAAGATCAGCTTTGTGGGCTAGCTTCTGTTCCTGTTCAGGCTGTAGATGTGCTTTGTGACCTGCAGCATGCTGTGTTTTTCTCTAGAGAGACCCCTCATCTTGCCTGATCTGACAAGGACACCCTAAGCTTAGCTCAGTTTAGGCACAGACAACCAAAAAACCACCACTGACTCAACAAGCAGTAACTTGTTAAGCTGTATCAACTGGTGGCACGTGCTCTGGATTCTCAAGAAAAGAGGCTAAGGTTAAAAACTACTTTTGTGGTGAAAATCTCCCTTATGTGGTTTAATCTGAACAGTGACTCCTTATCATTTGCCATAAATAGGTTTGTAAGTATGGCTTCAAGTGCCCACGAAGTGCATCTGTGGTTGTTTTCCATGCTTCCCTGGACACATTGCAAGGAGTGGATTGGCTGTGGTTACCTTCAGAAGTATTTAAAGAAAATTGGAGGGGAAGAACACTCTGCTCTGGGAGTGATTTCCAAGTGCAACTCTTCCCCTAAGAGTTGCATGAAAATAGCTGCAGCAATTGTTAAACAGAACATATGTTATGCTCCTGTAGCGAATGAGCATGGCCAGCTGTCCCAGGCCCAGTAAGCACAGCAGAAATGAAGGAATTTCATGTCACATATCACAAGTGGTCCTTTGGGCCAGTGCTGATAAAGCACTAGCTTAATTACCAGCATATCTTAACGATGATACCGCAGGCCTGGCCTCCAGTGCTCAACTCACTGTGGTGCAAACACTCTGTCCTTGCAGTTGTGCTCCCATGTGGTGTGACTTGCCTCCCTTTGCAGTTCCTTGAGTTTGGCATGTTCCCTGTTCACTGTCATTTGGCCATTCTGCTTTGAATCACCTTCTGGAATGTGGCTCTTGCACCATTTCTGCTTACGTGAATACACGCAGGTTAATTTTTTTTTTTTTGCATGTTGGATTAGAGCTGAATGAACGTGGGTAAATACAGGAATTGCCTGAAGTCCTGGAGATTAGCATTCTGGAAGTGAAGATTGGGCCAGTCCAGGCAGCACTGGGGATCTTTGCCTGGCTGATTATTCACACATCCCATGGGAAGCTCTTCTATGAGGACACATTCCACAGTTGGGTCACCGTGTGGCATTCTCAGTAACTTCAGCTGGGAACAGGCAGCTCACTACCAGGGTCCAGACACATCAGCCTCCTGCAGTTCTGCAGAAACCCCTTTCCCAATCCACTGCTCAAATTCTCAGATAACATCCTGATGTCAGGGAGCAGCAACCTCCTGAGAAACACTCTCCCCTGCCCAGGGCTGAGTGGGTGAGCACATTCCTTGGAAATCTGTTTATTTTCAGAGAGCAACCATGACACGTGGGTGCTTGGAGAAAGTAAAAGCTTTTGGTTTTTACACTATAAATGTCAGTCTGGAGGGGCTCTGCAGTCTGGTTGCACTGACAGCATGGAAATATCAGGATCTTAGGGGTTTGGCCCTTGCAGGTGGTTTGCAGCAGGACCCTGGGACAGTTGGGCTGTTAAGACAGGTGTTTCACAGAATCATAGAATGGTTTGGGTTGGACCTTAAAGATTATCTAGTTTGTGGTTTATAATTTGGAGAGAGGCTTTTAATGTAAAGCTAACCATGCAAGTCCCACTTTGAGAGGTCCCTGGGTTTTAAGACATCATAATAAAACTTAAGTACACGCTTTAGAATTGTGTCCACAGCAAGTCCGTGCACATGTGACTGGTTTGGACAACTCTGGCTTCTCAAAGGAAGTCTAAACTGGCTTCAGGACTTAGGAGGAATGAGGAACAAAAGTGGCAGTGGACCATGGTCAGTGTAGCTCACCATGCACCCATTTCCTTTTCCTGTTTACCCAACTGGTGATCCCAGCCAAGATAATCCCACATTGCATGTGATGAAGAGCATGTCCCAGGGGTGCTCAGTGATCCATTCCTCTCCCCCTTACATGGGACAGTGTCAGGGCTGCTAGGGACAGAGCAGTTCCTCCAGAACATCCTTCAGCTCTGCTGTTCCCAGCAAGACTGGGATGCTCCAGATCCCTGTCCCTCCGCCTTCCTGAGCAATGCTGGGCACGCTTTACTCAAGAGGAAGGTTGTAACACTTTGCTTGTGTTTGCTTTTCACAACTCATCTTTGGCTTCCAGTTGACTGCTCCTCAGTTGAAGCTGAGTTCCCAGCAGGTTTTCTCCAGCTCCTGCAATAAGAACCCTGAACAAGTATTAGTCATTGATTGGAGTTTTGAAACTCTGCGTGAATTAATTGCAATCCTCCACTCTCCTATTTGCAAATGAAACAAACCTGGTTTTACAAAATCTTGTTTTTTAAACTCTATGCAAGGGTTTTGAAAAGGGAATGTGATTCAAGTTACAGCTTCTGGCGTGGCTCAGTTTGGGGAAAAAAGGTCCATGTTCTGTTTATTTTAGAATTTTTTTTTTAAGTTTTAAAGAAACCTAATGTCTTGGCAATCTTTTAATTATTCATCATGTAAATCTGCAGCATATAAAGTCTGGCCTCCTTGGGAAATAAATGATTTAGGTGTATTTAGTTTACAGATTAAGCATCTGCCCTCAGAAAGCTGTACAATATTCTATAGCATTATTTTTCTTTGTAGCTTGATGAAAGGGATAGTTTGTAACTTAAGTCTTAAGTTACTTAAGAAGGCTTAAATGCTGTCCTAGCATTGGAAAGGTTTTTATTAAAATCAAATTAGCTACAGGGACTATATAAGGAAAGTAACTTTAAAAAAAACCTACAGGGACTATATAAGGAAAGTAACTTAAAAAAAAAAAAGGTTCTTTTCTGACTAATGATCTTGGACCGTATTTTCCCCAGTGCCATTTCCAGGACTGACACCTAGCCATGTTCCCTGAAAGTTAATTAAATTGCTGGAGGAGGGTTTGTATTTTCTTTAAATAGCTGACACATTGGATTTTGATTCTGGCCTGTGGGCTGCAAAGATAACTCCCGACTGGTATAACATAACACAGACAAAATAATGAATTCCTGATAGCTGACATGTGTGAGGCACCGAGGTTTATCATTCTGTGGGTGATAAAGGCAGTTTGTAAAAGGAAAAGGGTTGTGGGAGAGATAGCCCTGCAACTGAGGCTATGGAGTAATTGGTTGTGAAACTCCTGGATTAAAAAAACTCTACTGAGGTGAAATGAAGTGTTTGGTCTAGGTGCAGACAACTGGTCTTAACAGTTTGCTCCTAATTAAGTGAGTGCTCACTATTAGGTTTTTGGGTAGTCTTTGCTTGGAAAGTTGACTCTTATGCCAAACTGGAAAAATCTCTTGGTAGAAGAGAATGTGGGCAGTGCTAGAAAATACCTGCTGGAAAGAAGTTAATAATTGTCCAATAGCAAAGCACCTGCTCAGGGTACTGCTAACCCCAAGATTAAGGTACCTTCAGGAACAGGACACACCTGAGATTATTGGAGGCAGCTTGTCCAGCCTGTTTTTGGAAATCTCACCAGGTTCATGTAACCAAAACTCCAGGTGTGGTCATGTCCAGGAGTGGGTTTGGAGCAGGAACACAAGTTTGGACCCAATCTCCCAGTCATTCTTACTCCTCTGTCTCAGGTTGGCATCCTGGAGAGGTCTCAGGGCTCCAGGTAGGTCTGTGTGAGAGGAATGGAGCCCTTCTCATGGGTGCTCAGGCTGCAGGCCCAGGCTAGAGCTGACCTAAGGACGGCCCTGAAATGGGAACTGTGTGGGTGTTGGGTCCCCAAACCCTCCTGCTCCTTTAGGCTGCTCTATTGGGGAAGGAGACCTGTTGTGAACCGTTTACTGGAAGTTCTTTTCCAGGGCCATTGGGATTGGGGCTGAGTCACAAGGGGACACCCATGCTGGTGTCCTGTGAAGGCCAAAGAGCCAAGCCCAGTCTGGATGCCTCTTTAAGCCCCTGAGGATTTCCTTA